AACTCTATTGGCAAAACAGAGTTAGCAGAGGAAGCAGAACACTAAGGCTGTTGGCAGGAAAAGGAATACCTGGCATTAGGTAGTATGGCACTACACTCGCAATGGGTTATGTGTTATTATGGCATGATTAATAGTTTTAGCCCGGGGGGAAGGGGTGTTATGTCCTGAGCCTGTGCAAGCAGGCTCGGGGCATTGTAAACGGTCCCGGGCAGGTGCAAGCTGCCCGGGACCAGACAGGCTGTCGCCAGTACTTGTGCGCATGCGCAAGTGCTGGCGCGCCAAAAGTTGCAGATTGACCCGGGAATGGCCTATAAAAGAGGCTGGGAGTTTTGGGCGTTGTCGCCGTCTTCTAACTTGTAAGCTGAACTGGAAATAAAGAAGTTTCTGAGAACTACAACTGCTTCTCGTGTCTTGCCATTTCGCGAAGGACGCAACACTGTCTAACCCACATTTTTCTATCTTATCAAGTAGTAGGTTGTGATCTACTTTATCAAATGCCTTACTGAAGTCCAAGTAAATTATATCCACAGCATTCCTCTGATCCACTAATTTTGTCACTTGGTTAAAGAATGCAATAAGATTTGTCTGGCATGATCTGTTTTTGACAAACCCATGTTGGCTTTTAGTAATGACTTTGTTTGCCTGTAGGTGTTCGCTGATTATCTTTCCCAGAATCTTCCCAGGTATTGAAATCAGGCTGATAGGTCTGTAATTTCCTGGATTCATTTTTTTTCCTTTTTTGAAGATGGGAACTACATCAGCTCTTTTCTAGTCCTCTGATAGTTCCCCAGTGCTCCAGGATCTTTGAAAAATATAGTTCAGTGGTTCTGAGATCACATCTGCCAGTTCCTTGAGAACCTTGGGGTGTAATCCATCTGGTCCTGGTGATTTGAACTCGCCTAGGCTGGACAGGTACTCATTTACCATTTTCTTGCCTATCTTGTGTTTCTAATCTGTTTTTTATGGTACTGTTTTTGATAGATTGGGCTGTTTTTTCCCTTTGTGTAAAGACAGATGCAAAAAACAAGCTAAATAGTTCTGCTTTCTTCCTGTTGCTTATCACCTTCTTGCCACTTTCCCCCACTAATAGACTAATCATTTCCTTAACTTTATTCTTGTTTTTTACATGTTGAAAGAAGCTTTTTTTGTTGTTATTTTTGACTTTGGTGGCAAGGCTTAGTTCATTTTGAGCCTTAGCTTTCCTCACTTCATCTTTGCAGGCTCAGGCTATTTGCTAATATTCTGCCTTAGTTATGTGCCCCTCTTTCCATTTTTTATACTTGTCCTTTTTATCTTTCAATTTATCAGAGAGTTCTTTATGCAGCCATGCTGGTTTCTTTTGAGAGCTGTTATTTTTCTTCTTTGTTGGTATTGTGCTAGACTGGGTTTTTATTATCTCACCTTTCAAAATTTCCCAAGCTTCTTGAGTTGTTTTCCCCTTAAGGATTCTCATTCATGGAATCCTTCCCAAGGCCTCTCTAAGTTTATTGAAATTAGCTCTCTTAAAGTCCAAGACTCTAGTTTGACTGTGTTCTATTGCTTGTGCTTCCATAATGCTGAATTCCAATATTCCATGATCACACTCCCGCCCAAGGTTCCTGTGGCTTCAACACCTTTTATTATTTCATCTCTGTTAGTGAGAATTAGATCCAATATGGCTAATCCTCTAGTTCCCTTCTCTACTTTTTGGGAGACAAAGTTGTCTGCTAGGTTTGTCAGAAATCTGTTTGATCTTCCACTTGGTACAGAGTTTCTCTCTCAGTTGATGTCAGGATAATTAAAGTCAGGGCTTTTTTTCTCATAGAACACCCAGAATGGAGTTCTGGCACCTTTTAGGGTAGGCAAGGCAGGTTGTATGACATGTGTGAGTTACAGCACTTTTTTTTTTTTTTTAGAAAAAAAGCACTGATTAAAGTCCTCCATTACTATTGTGATATGCTTCCTACATACCTTAGTTAGCTGGCTAGCAAAAAGTTCATCTATTTCCTCTGTCTGATTGGGTGGCCTATAGTATATACCTATGGCAATGTCATTCTCCCCCCCCCTTTTATATTGACCCAAATGCATTCAAGACAATTTTCATCATTGTTGTGCTCTATTTCTGTAGAGATGTAGTTTTCTTATAAAGGAATGGGAAGGTTGAATGGAGAATAAAAAAGAAAGGAAGATTTATTTATAACTTAGAAATATAAAAGTGCCCTACTGAGGACAGACTCTGGATAGCATACAATTGAACCAATACGACGTTTAAAAATAGGAAAAAGAAATACATAGAATGATATTACTTTGGACATAATAGGGAAAAATATGCCACAGCCAAGACAAACTTACACACCAGTGGGCATGACAAGTATCTATCCCAGAGCTTGGGGAAGGCGCCAAGTTTTTAAATATCATCTCAACATGAGTAGGCAGTCCAAACCCTGCCAGGGAGATATTGTTCCAAAGAGCAGGTGCCGCAACAGATGTTTGAGTGGGAAGTAAATACAGTCCGTTCTCAGACAATTCCTTTCCCCCCCATATATTTTATTGATTTTTTTTAAACATAAATCACTTAATAGTTGGTAAACAGTGTGTTTGCTGGGTTTACATTGGTAAAGAAAAATCATTAACAATTGGTTTCTATAATCCATAATCCACATAGTACATTTAATTGCTTTCCCCTTTTCCCCAAAATGTCTTCTTTGCAAACCTTGAAATAATGCAATTCTTATTATTTTGATAAATAACAGTTACATATATGATTTTTTCCCAATAGTCCTAGAAATAATGATCACATCAATATAATATTTCTTTTCTATCTAATCATTCTGGTTATATCCTCATCTTATATCCTGTTACAGTCCTTATTTAGATTTGTTTCTCCCATAAAGTTCAAAAGTTCAAAATCTGGTTAAGATTTTCTCAACAGTTAATTACATTTAAAGATTTAAATCCATTTTTCCCATATAAACCATCTCAAAGCTTTTACATTTCTCAAAGAATAGGTAAAAACAGTAAAGAAAAGGAAAAGAGAGCAAAAGTAAAGAAACATAAAAAGTAAAATACTACTTAAAATATATATTCCTCCTAAGCCTGCCTACCCCTGTCCTAAGCTAATATATATTCATTCCCAAAATTTCTTATTCTTTTTAACCATGATTAAAATATATATTAAATTTTTAAATATTCCGTTTAATGTGCCTAGTCATCTAATCCTTTAACTCTTATTCAAAAGATTTTTTTCTTTTTTATACATTATAATTTCCCTAAATTCAGACACATTTAATTATCTAAAACATTTCCTTCATCTAGGCCATTTCAGCAGTTTTATATTACTTATATCAAGAAATAAAATAAAAAGGGGGGAAAACATACAGTATTATTTAAGGAATTCATCTCTCTTAGAATGACATATGTATTCAGAATCTTTTCTAGTTCTTTAACCATATTCAAACAAATGTTTCTTTTTTAAATATTCTCTCTGGTAGATCCCATCATCTATTTCCTTAATTTTCACTTTGATCTTTTTCCTTTGACCAGTATCTTTCTTGATCAATGTGTTTTGCTGAATCAAAAGGTTTTTCCATATATTCATGACTGTTGCTGTAGGTATAAGAGGAAAACCAAAAAAAGTGTCTTTATGTGAGGCTTTTGCCTTTCCATGTTTCTTGAAAATGTTTTTCTCTTTCTCCTTCTTTGCTTTTCTTATCACTTCCTTTCTCTCTGATGTTTTCAACATCTCTACATTCCATTTTATCCAATCTGTTTTTTTTGTCCTCAGATTTATTTTGTAGTCTTAAGGAATGAGTTGTTTTTTTCCATTTCTTGTAAATTTTTTCCCACTAGGATTAAATCATGTTTTCTTGCTTTGTTAAGTTTCGTCTTTGAGTCTCTATTTTCAATTTTATGTCCATTTATTTGTTTTGTCTGCTTCTTCTCTGTTGTTGTTTCCTGACAGTTTTTTTTGTTGTAAAGTTAACTTAGAGATAGATTGATTTGTATTTTCAAAGTTATTTTTGATTTCTTTGTACTTTGAACTCTGTGTTATTTGAATTAATTGCAGTATACTATATATCTCCTCCTGAGAGGTATTTATGTTTTCTTGGTGTGTTCTGTTTACATGTCTCTGATTCATGATGACCAAAAGTTGGAGTTTTCCTTCTTATCTGCAAATAGCTTTAGAGTCCCGGTTAAATAGATATTTATCATCCAAAGAGTTCAAAAAAGATTTTTTTTCTAAAGTTTATAATTCTCTCTTTGTCTGCAGCCCATATTGTTGTCTTTTTTTGCTACAGCTGTTCTTTATTATTAAAGCTTTGAAGGTCACAAACACAGATTAGCTTTTCCCAGGTTTTGGCAAGTTCTCTATGGAAATCACAGCTGTCATAATCTTCATCCACCATTAGGTGTCAGCATCTATTTAGTTTTCAATATGAACAATGGTCTTTAAAATGAGAGTCTTAACCATTCAACAATCTTAAACTTGCCCAAAGTTAAATTTTAGCTTTCAAGTTTATAAATTTATTTCACTACCATATATTTTGATTCTCCATAGAAATTTTAATTCGCCACTTCCATTAGTATAAGGATGGGGCGGAAGTCCCCCTCCTTCACTTTTGGAGGTATTTTACTTCTTGGGGATCTTTTCCAGGAAATTAAGTGTAGAATAGAAAAGGGAAAATCAGATTCCTCACCCAGTTTCAAGCACATTGTTTACTGTAGTGCTGGTTAGTTCTTTTGGACTCCAGTTGCAAGTAGCTTGGGTTGATTGATGAAATACAGCCTTTCTCTGTCATATTAGAAGGCTTTCCCCAAGACAAACGGAATGACCACCGTCATTCCAGAGTCACCTGGGCACCCTTCTTTCTTCGCCACCTCTCTGGGGCAGCTTGGACCTATTAGGGTCTCCAGGCAAGATGAAAGTTGGCTGTGGGGGTGTGGCGGTCCGCAAGCCTCTGACCAGTCACTACCATGCAGGACCAGAAGTCCCATTCTCAGGCAATTCCTTCTTTCTCAAGTTTGATACAGATGGAGATGGAGCTATCAGCAGTTTTGAACTGCGCCAGGCTGTGACTGCCCTCTTAGGTGAGCAACTCAATGCCCAGGAGTTGGACGAGATCCTGCAAGATGTAGATCTCAATGGAGATGGAAAAGTGGACTTTGATGGTGAGAAAAGTCAGCACATGTTTTGTTAACTTCTTTCCCCTTAAATACTGCATTCTGAAAGGCAGGATCTATTTTCTATAAATGAGACACTATGTCAGAGGGATTTGGTTTTTTTAAAATACCGAATAGGTGCATCACAAATAGTGCAGGACAGCATTGGCTGGGTTGTTTAAGAATGCCTACCAATAGAAGAAATAATCTAGAAAAGCTGCAGGTTTTCCAGAAATGGATAGCACTGCAGTTGTAAGTTCCAGTAGGAGTCATACAGTAATCATGTTTTCAAATTTATCCATGAAAACATGCACAAGTTTGAACCAGAACTCTTTCATTTCAATGCATTTAATGTAGATTAAGAAAACAGGATTCTTTGCTACTCATTACTTCTTTAAAGGAAGCAGAAATTGTTTCCCCCTGAAGCTTTGTATGGTCTGTAGTCAATTTTGTAACTACTAGTTATCAGAGAATATGGGTCAATTTCAAAATTCATGGTTGGATAAGGTTGACTACCTTCTTTGATCATTGTTTGTATATAAGTAGCAGCACCTTTTCCATGGAACATAAACTAGAACTGTAACTCTGAAACATATTGTAATCACTAAAACATGCAAGTGTTTTAAGGACTTATCATAAATACAGTCAGGGCAAGATGAATTTTGGTAGGGAAAAGGGAATTTTATCAGGAAACTAGATTAACACTTCCACAATATAGTCCATTCCATACATGAGGGAGCTATCACACTGATGTGATGTAATGCCTGTTGTGATTTTCCCAAGGACTAGGAAGCAACTATGATGGTTTATAACACTCTCTTCCTAAGGCCCATTCACCCTTTTGAACTTTGTCCCTTGCCTCATTCTTACCAGAAAGCTATGTATGTTTATGTCTCCCTCTGAAAGGAAGACATTGATTAAGAAGATGAGAACCCCTCAGAAATATGATTGATCTGACTTTTCCTGTCTCTTTCAGAGTTTGTGATGATGCTGTCATCCACGTAACAAGAACCAGAGGAGAAGAAATGGGGATGTCTTTATTTCCAGAATTACCTTGCTCAGTAATGGGAAGGAATTGGTTTCTGCTGCTAGCTTTTTTCACTTGCTGGAGATAGGAACATCACGATAGGAGATGAAATTCTCTTTCCCCAAGTCTGGATCCAAAGCTGCAAAGTACCTCAGGGAGCAGGTGCTCACTGTGTGTGCAGGAAGATTTTGAGTTTTGAGGCAAAATGGTTGGGCTGAGCCTAGAGAACTCACCTGGCACCATCTTTGTTTGTTAGGAATACAAAGCACTTCAGGGCCCATACCAGTGTGGCTAGGCCTGGCAAATTCTGTCCAGGTATGGAGCCATACCCAGGTGTACTTTGATTTCCTCTGACATTCCCCTCCCCCCATCAGCTCAAAATTCCTGGAGACTTAAAATAAACTGTTTGAAGTTAATAGTTCATTCATCCAAAAATATTCTGTTGAGCTGAATGGTAATTTTTTTTTAATCCCCTAAGAGCAAAATGAATAAATGAATGACAAGCCTCTTCCCAGATATTTTAAAATAAAGGCAAAGAGATTCCTGGATCTCATTCATGAAGATTCTTCACTAGAAACTGTAAGGATATGCGTCCTATTTCAGTACACTGGTGAAACAAAAATAATATCAGCTTTGGATTTGTAAATAAAGCTATCATAATTCCAAAGAGCAATCCCTGAAATGCTTCCCATGAATTCAGTGTCAATTTGAAATTTGGAAAAAAGTTAAAGATCACTATATGCAACCATAAATATATTTATTTTCTTTTGACAATTGCATAAATATTAGATATATGTATGTTTATGCAAAAGCAGAGTCAGACTCTGGCTGTGTTACTGAACAACTGCAGTGTTAAATATTGAAATGATATAAAGCATAATTGAAATATTTGTATTTTGTTTTTCTGAAGTTCATGTGTTAAGTCTAGATAGCTGGTGATAATTAAAATTCACATTATTAGACCACAGATGAAATCAAAATGTAATAGTATGACACATATGGCAGACAGAACAAAGTCTTAGTTAAAAATCATTCAGCCTGACAAATTGAAAGCCTGCTTCATACGTTAAAAAATATTCTCAAATTGACAAAAAGAAATTGAGGATGAGGTCTTCAGAATTTCACTTTCCAAAACAATGGTGTGTCTACAAAGAATGTTCTTTGTCCAACCAATTGATCCTGCATCATGGACAGGAACATAAAAAGCCACCTCAGCTTGATTTTAATGGGTAGGCAGATTAGCATGACAAGAGCTTCTACTTGGGATCTAGCTAGGACAGACATGTCAAACACAAGGCCCGGGGGCCGGATGCGGCCCACGAAGTGGTTTCATGTGGCCCGCAAAGCCATCCTGGAAACAGTGAGGGAACGGTCCCCACTGCCTTGGCCCTGGCCCAGACCGGCCGGGAGCCAATGTACAATTTTGTGGTGGCCATCTATGCTGAAACACATTCAGTCTTAGCTCCACAAGGCCATCTGGAAACAGTGAAGAACCAGCCCCTGCCGCGTCGGCCCCACCCCCTGGGTGCATGCTGGGGAGGTGTCACCTTTTGTGAGGAATGAAGAAATGCACCATTGCCTGAAAGTGGCCAGCAAATGGCCTTCGTCTACTTCACATATCCGGCTTGATGGGCTCTGGGGGAGGGGTTTCAGCAGGAAGCGGGGTGCTCTCCTCACAGCGTCGGGTGGCTGAGCCAGGTGGCGCGAATCTGATGAGAAGTGCAATGCTGCCTAGCCCCCAGTCTGCCCAGTTTCAGCAGGCAGCAAGGTGCAAAGCTGGCGATCTTTTCACAGCCCAGCTCAACCTCTCAGTGCTGTGATGAGAGCGCCCCGCTGCCTGCCGAAACTGGACAGGCTGGGGGCTGGGTGGCATTGCACAGGTAACATTGACTCTCACTCTGCTCATGGCATCCCCTCCCCCAGAGCCCACCAAGCCAGATATGTGAAGTAGGTGAGGGCCATGTGCTGGCCACTTCTAGGCAATGGTGCATTTCTTCATTCCTCATAAAGGTTGACATCTCCCCAGCTGCATGTCTTGCCTGTTTTTCTCCCTCCCTCATTTCAAATATTTTCTCATCACTCTGTACTTAGGAAGAAAGGAAGGAAAGAAGGAAAGGAGAGGGAGGGTCTGAGGGAAGTTCTGCCTTAGTTCTGCCCTGCTACCCTTTCACCATCCCCTTGCCCCCTCTTCCTGACCTATCCTGGGGGTCTCCCATCCTATTGCTAAGGAAACTTTGGATACAAAACCGGGTCTCCTCCCATGGAGAGGGAATGGGCCTCCCTCTGACTTTGCCCTCGTACCCATCATGAGCAACCTGGGTAAGGAGAGCAAGCACAGTAGCAGCAGCCTTGAGGATGAGGTAAGTGCAGCTAGGTGACCCCTTGGGGAAGTGGGGCTGGGCTTGGTGCCACGGGTGCTTGAGGGGCAGGCTGGTGTTTGACCTCTGCTGTCCAGGGCTCTGGGCAGCCCACACCACCATCCAGCCCTCCCCCGCATGGCCTGAGAGGAACAGTGAGGCTCTTCCAGTGGACCATGCCTTGGCACTTGCCCTGGTCCCACTCCCTTCTGCCAGAGACCCTCAAATCTGTCCCACTCCTGCCCAGGCCCCCACAGGCCCCCTTGACACGAATGATGTAGAGCTGGCCATGCCCACCCAGTAGGCCATACCCACCCGGCCCCCCGAGGGCAACCACAATGCTGATGCGGCCCTCAATGAAATTGAGTTTGACACCCCTGAGCTAGGACATTACAGATAATCATCAACAATTGTAATTACACCTGTAAATATTTAATAACTAAAAGGCGTATGGCAGGATAGAAGTAATATGATCCCATAGGTAAACACCCATAACTTCTTTGTACCAGCTGAAGCTTCTAAAAACCCTTCCAGTGATACTTCATGCTAAATGTAGTATTCAAATCTAGCAATAACTAAGATACATTGAGTCAGTTCTCCTCAGGACTGGGAACAGCATTCCAAACTAGATTTTTGGGTCTACAGTTTCTTTGCTCCTTTGCCTCAAGAAACAATTTCCGCAAAGCAAATAGCATCCCTTATCATCTAACAATCTAGCAGTCAAAGAAAACTTGGCCAAAACAAATGGAATGTGTAGCTTGGCTATGGGTAAAAAACTAACCACAAACATTATTTCATGCAGGAAAGAAGTCCTGTGTCTCTGTTCTCCCTGTCATGCAACAGACAGGAACAGATTAAAGCATCAAATACAACTTCAGAAAAGCAGTTTCCACAGGTATCTCCCATTTCACCTTGCATGCCTCCTCTTTGCCTGTGATTTCTTAGCATCTTTTTTTTTTAGAGCATTTTTTCTAAAAAAAAAAAAAAAGTAGTTAAACCCACATTCAGAAAAAAGCTCAGGCAGTAGATGTAGTGTCTCTGTGTTTGGGAGACATTAGTTCGACTATTGAGAGGTAGCCAAACCTGTTATTCAAAGCAGCTATCTATGCTTGCTCAATCTCCCCACCACATCACGATAGGGAGGGAATGAGATTGATACTTCTTTTTTTCCCACCAGCAGGGTCTAAGCAGAAAGGGAAACCAAGCCATGGGGTTTCACCATTCACTTTACTTAACGTTCCACATTGAAACTACAAGGACAGATCCACGTCAGGCTCATTATTGGAGCAGAATAAGACTTGACCACTGGTGAAACAGAACTAGATTAATTGTACTTTATTGTAAGGCTGCATTAACAGAATCTTGCAAGTCTGAAAGTATAAATTTCCACCCATCACTTTTAACTGCCTGATATAGTAAGGCAGATCTTTTCTCGGTTTCATTTTGTGACCATTAAGTGATTGCTGGCTCCTTGCCCCTCTTATCTGTTTCTTTTCTAGGCAGCATTTCTCCTTCTCTTTCCTCAAGATCACTAATGCATTCCAATATGGTCAGTGAATGATAGACAGTTGATTAACCTTTGGGGGTCTTTACAGAGCTCCACACTAATCCTAATCCTGAAGGTGAGGTGGCTAATGGCAAGACAGCGTTACCCAGCCACCTACAAGAACGTGTGTGGTTATTTGTGTCATTTATCTATTATTGTCATTGTTATTTTTCATAGTACTATTACTAAAATAATATTTATTAGTTTCATATAATAAATATTTGGGGGCCAATGAACAAACTGAAATGGCATGAAAAGGTTATGCAGCTGAAGAGTTTGGGATCCCTGGCCTTGATGATTTACTGTAGATCTGAGAGACAATATTTTTGCCAGAGTACACTGGCTTATCCAATTTATCAAGTTTTCTGCATGTGCATCAAAAGATTATCCTAGAAATGAGGTGGAGTAAAGACCGATCTTGCACAAAAAAATAAAATAAAACCTCAAGGATTGTCAGGCCCGCCCCAAAACCAAGAATGACACATAGTGATTCCTCCAAGCTGAATTCTTTATTGTTTCCACATCTATCCGCAGAATATTGCCAGACTAAGCACACTACTTTTTGCATCTGCCATATACTCAGATAACTATTAGGGAGCAGCTGTCTTCACCCTCTTTGTCTCACACAAAATATCTGGACAGAATTGTCTCTTATTCCTCCAAAATGCACCCCTCCCTCTTGGGACTCCTCACTACATTCCATCACAAGGGCACATCATTGGGAGATAATTGCATCAAGCAATAAACTAAGGAGTGATTATCATCATTTGTTTGTTACATGGACTAAGCCATGCATAATTCCTTTCATTATGTATCATCAATTTGGTGCCAATTCTTAGTGACCACGTAAATTTTCTCCAGCATCACTGATTGTTAGAATGTGTACAACACAGAGGTTTCAACTGCCTTTGATTATTAACCAACTCATCGTATTTAAAATGTCTTCTGCAGTGCCGGTTGTGTAAATGTTTCCTTTTTTGTCTTCCAAAAGGCTATTTTCTTCTCATAGTAGGCTGCTTCGTTGATGAAGACTGGGAAGAAGGTGTCATCACCATCATGCAGAATATCCTCCCCAACAAAATTCTGGAAAACTGGGTCCCCAGGCTTCAGGGGCTGGAAATCTTTATCCTAAGGGAGATTATTTGATTTGATACCAAGAACAAAATAGCCAGAAGGTTTTCACAAAGCAAGCCTTTCTATTCCCCTTGTGTGGTAGCCTCTGATGAGCTGGAAACAGCCCTTGCAAGAGATGAAACTGTTGTAATGAGCATTGTCACTGTTGGATGATTAATTGCAGACTTCCTTGGAGTCTGATGTGTTATTATCCTACACTCTCTATCCCACTCAAGTAGACAACTTGATGATCAGAGAACGCAAGGTCGGGAAAAGGGCATTCTGACAAAGAGAAATTTCCCTAAGTCTTGCAATGTTGCGGCACACTTAGCAAAGCTCATGGTTTCGCATGCTTATTAAACTCCAGTTTCCTAGCACAATGTTTCCACTCCCCAATCCCTCACAAGGCAATTATTGAAGCTGAACAGCAATCTTTCTCATTTCTCCTGACCCTGAAAAGTAAAAGAGTGCTCTCTCACTACCCAAGGAGAGCTGCCGAGAAGAGTGTTTTCCCATCTCTGCCCTGCCTACTCCTCGGTATTCTGATTTATAAATGTCCCCACAAGCCCATACAAAGAAAACACAGGCATTTGCTGTTGGATCCCTGCTGCTATGGCTGTCAATTTTACACCTAGCTGTGGAGGTTTTGATTTCTGTTCTGTAGAAATTGAAAGAGGAAAAAAAATCTCATTCATTTTTATTGCATTAAAAAGCTTCTGAAGATGTAAGGAATGTATCAAGAAAAGGAAAGAATCTAGAGGGAGGGATAGACAAAAAAATCCCTTCTCAAATAGACCAGCCACAATAATGCAGTGTTGCAAAGTGGAAAAAATGTCAAATTGCTCTAATTTCAAATAAAATGCAGAGGTGCTGGGGAAAAAAAGACAGCTGCCGAAGCTACCTGATAGGGTGTGATTGCACACGTCCAAAGGGGGATCATACTGGTGCAAGATACTCATGTACAGATGCCCAAAGTTTTAGGCAGTCAATGTTCTATTATGTTGCAAAGAGCAGCCAGAAAGCTGCAAACAGCACATGCACACAAGCACTCACATGCACTCACTCTCGCACATACACATACACAAACATGTGCCCTCTCTTCTTTCCTTCTTTTCCTCATACTCACCTGTAGATTTGGATGTATTACAGCAGAAATCTCCCCGTTGGGATAACGGGGGAAGTCCTTCTGTTCAACCGGTCTGTATGCCTCTATTTCAAAAGCTGGGAACAAGGTGCCTAACAAAAAGAAGCAGACAAATCGCAGAAAGTTTATTCTCAGTCTTCATAATCAGGAGTCTATCAGGCAGGAGGATGGACAAACTCCTTCCCCACCACTCTGGGCAATTGATGATCAAAAGTTCAGATGTTTGTCAGCTTCTGCATCTGAATATACTGTTAGGTCTAGGCTTTATTTTAAAATTCATGCTAGGCACAGAGCCTGATCAGCGTAAATCTCATGACAGATCACTAGAGTGTGACACACGAGGGAAACAGGATTATATTTCCAGTCACATTACGGAAAAATGCATGACGGTTGGTTGGTAGCTCTGCATTAGCTTTTCTTTCACTCTTATTTTGACAAAGGGAGAGCTTGTTGCCATAGCTTTCATCATTTTATCAGTAAAACTGTAACACTCTGACGATCTCCAAAATGGATCTCACGAAGACGTAATATTTCTCACTCACGTTTATGGAGCTTCTCAGTTGAAGAATCAAAATAGGTCACCTTTGTTAAAAAGCTCAATGAAGTCCAAAGCACAGACCACAATTGATCTCATCTTAGCAAGTTGGTCAGCTCGTGCCACTCCCTGGGGTTGTGGGCCCAACTCTAATGCTGGAGGGGATTATAAGAAGAAAGGGGGGGGGGGGTAGAACACATCATTAGCAATTATGGTGAAATGTCTTTGTTTACCTTACATACACTTTTCCTCCTTCTACTACACTGATCACAAGTGGCAAAGCAAGGACTGGAATATCTCCCACTTTTTGCTTGGAGAATACCTATGAGACTTTTGAAAACACTACAAACTACTAATGTAAGGCCTAAATGTGATTTTTCCAAAAGGCAACTGGACTTTTTCAAGAAAGTCCAGTTGCCTTTTGAAAAAAAAAAAACCTCCTTGGGACAATTGTGACCTGGATGATCGAGAATCTCATAGACATTTACTAATGTAGGAATGGCCATTGTCTCTCAGCCTTTTCATAATATAGTTATACTGTATGGACAAAGAATGGGGCAAAGCTGACTATCTTATTAACAGCTGACTTAATATGCATTCAAGAGAAACCCAAATAAGTTATGCTAGAGGAAAAGTTGCCAGAGAAAAACAAGATTTGAATAAAGTAAGAGTTTGGAAAACAGGTGGGAGAGATATGAATTTTCATCTTCACTAGTTTTTAGTTATGTATTTATAAAACATTATTCCAAACTTATCTTGCTTAATTTATTTGAGCTATCTTAGTCTCTTTCAACAAAAAGCAACCAATTGGATAATTTTAATAGAATATTTTTAAATCTCTCATTATAGAAAGCAGCCCTTTGATACTGTCACTTTATTATTGCTACAAAGATGTCAAAATAGAAATGGGGTCAAGAAGACCATATCAGAAAAGACCCCTGTGGTTCAGCCAGAGATGATTTGAGACATCTGCTGCATCAAAAGATTACATTGAACCCTCTAAGGAGATAGTAGGATCTTTGGGGATGTTGCAACTGAAATTCATGAACCGTATGGATCTTTTCCAGTCATTCTGTATTCTAGGAAGGATCACCAGAACTACTCCTTACCTAGTCCATGTTTAGCCACTGACATCATGAAAGTAGTCTCCTCTCCAGATAGTTGACAGAGTAATATGGGACAGTGTCTCACTCTGCAGTGTTTCTGTAAAGGCAGGAAAAAAGAAGATAGCTTTTTTTAAAAAAAGAAATCCCAGTTTTCTTTTCTTGAAACAGGAAAAAAAATAAATTCTTAGGAAGTTTCAGAAACATGACCTCACCTGGATATAGTTACACATGTGTATGGATAACAGGCTAAATTCAGACTTCAGTAAGAGGCAGGAACCCATGTTGGCTGTAGTGTTGTGTAGATCTAACATAAAGTCATAGGCTTGAGATGAGCCTTTGGGTCCGAAGATCTGGTTGATTTCCTGAGCACGTTGAATCTCATAAAGGTCTGAATCTGAAGCCTTGGTACTGAGAAAGAGATGCACAAAATAATGGTAGTCTGTTAGATCTGATCAGGAGAAGATGCCTCTTCTAATCTGGTATTATGCGGATATATTGGGCTTCAACTTCTACTGTTCTAGCCAGCATGGTTAAAGCCACTTGGGCTGAAATTGATTCAAGATGGAGATATGCTAGCAGTTTTGAAGGGCCACAGACTGAAGAAAGTAAATTTAAAGTCTTATGGCAACAAACTTTAAGTGAGGGCTTAGACACCTAAGCATCTTCAAACCTGACACAAAAAATGTGAGCTTCAGTGTGTTACCCTCCCCAGTCCTGAGAAGGATGGTCTTTGTGTTCCCTACAAACTTCTAGAGCAGGGGTCTTCAAACTTGGCCCTTTTATGACTTGTGGACTTCAACTCCCAGAATTCCTCAGCCAGTGTTAACAAATCATAAAAGGGCCAAGTTTGAAGACCCCTGTTCTAGAGATTGGAGCAAAGCGTAATACTTACTTTAGAAAAGCTGCAGCGAACGTACGATTGAGATCCCTCCCAACGTAGCGCACGCACCGCTCGACTGCACGTGGGTTGCCCACAAGAGGTGTGACCTGAAAGGTGCTGCGCTGCAACTCAGATGGATCCTGTAGCCAGTGCTTGACTAGGTAAACACCTGACATTTCATTCCCATGAGTTCCCCCACATATTGCTACGCGTCCCAAGGGAGGAAGGTATTCTGGATGTGACATGATGGGGTTTCAGACTCTGTTGTGAGAAAGAAGACCACATGGGATTATCAACAGCCCTTTCAGCAATACTGGAGTGTTCCCATCTGCAACCCATTGAGCCAAGCCCCTAATCTTGCCTTTAAATTTACTATCCACCATCCAGTTCTGCAATGTTTTAATGTAAGAGTGGAGACTCCATGGATTACTAGAACTTCAGCATTCAATACAGTTAGTCCTCGATGTACGACCACAATTGAGTGCAAAATTTCTGTTGTTAAGCAAGGCAGTTGCTAAGTGACTTTTAACACCTTTCTTGCCACAGTCGTTAAGTGGATTACTGCAGTTGTTAACAACACAGTTGTTAAGTGAATCTGGCTTCCCCGTTGACTTTGCTTGTCACAAAGTTGCAGAAGGTGATCACATGACCCTGCAACTGTCATAAATTTGAGTCAGTTGCCAAACATCCAAATTTTGATCATGTGACCAGGGGGAATGCAGCAATTGCCGTTAAGTGTAAAAAAGGTTTGTAAGTCACTATTCTCAGTGCCGTTGTAACTTCGAACAAATGAACTGTTGTAAGTTCAGGACTATCTGTACAATTTACTTATTTACTTATAAATATTTACTTATTTATTTCTTTATTTATTATTCATTTATTTATATTAAATGCATATGCTGCCAGTGTCACCAATAAGGCAATTCTTAAGAGATATGTCTCAAATGTTGATATCATTGTCTAAACAAATCATTTGCACAGTTATATTATGAGGCACATGTCTCACACACACATATATAGACACCCCTGCTCCCAGTACAGTCGGTCTACAACTGTCACCCACTGTCGTGATGGGAGTGGCACAGAAATTCCATATGAGGATTCTGAGCATGTGTGAAAGCACCTTTCGGCTTCTGTGTGCCACAGGCTGCAGGAGATTGCAACCAGTTGTAAATATGAGTTGGTTGCTACAGGCGTCTGAAATGCAATCATGTGATCCCAGGAGTGGTGTAGCAATCATAACTGTGAGAGTAAGTTGACATAAATTTTAATGAGTTTGTCATAACTTCGAATGGTTGGTAAGCAACAGTGGTAAGTTAAGGATTGCCCTCTAAAGTCCACAGATGTGAAGAATATCACTAATGAAATTTAGAGTCTGTGAAGTAAAGCATCAGCCGTTTGTAATCACCTCTTTTTTTAAAAAAATCACATCTACCCATGATGCGGATGGTATTATTTCAGTTCTTCTGCAAAATCTGTGGTGAGCTAATTTTCCTCTAGGTTCATTTCCCAGACTGTATTCTGGGGCACATCCCCTAATCTTCGACTTGTCTGCTGCATGAGTTAGAAACAGAGAAGCTATTTAAAGAGAATGTGGGAGATTGCTCTCTTCAAGATCACCTGATTCCATATTCAGAATAGATTAAAAAAAATTCCCATCATCCTGGGTTATTAGTACATATACTGAAATTGTCATTTGCTTGAAAGAAAGTAGGAGAGAGGCAGAAGATGATGCTTTGGGGATGACAATTTCTTGAGGAAACAGTGAGGCACTTCTTAATGTGAGATATATTAGGAAAAAAAGTACAATGTATGTTCTAAAAACAGTATATCCCTTGCAATTTAATCTTCAAGAATTTGGCATTTTGAATATGTACTGAGTTGACATTAACAAAACGAACTTTACAGTCCTTAACGAGTGGAGGATAATAACCAACCAGAAAAAAAGTTCAACTACAACATTTTCCAGAATGTCAGAAAAGATTAAAGGGACTCAGGGATAGTATTTAGCACTATGCAATGTCTGATAGAGTGAAGGAGTGGTTGTCTGTGGGAATCTGATAAAGAGTTAGCAGACAGAATAACCAGCATTTACCCTGTCCTATAAAAGTAGCTAGCAACCCATGCTACTACTCTACCTCTAAAAATTCTTCCTGATCCCTTTTCTGTTTAAAACTGTAGTGATGCTTATGAATGTTACAGTGTGAGAACTTACCCAACTTGAAATTCTGGTCTACTTGCCTAATCCTGGCAGAAACACAGAGATGAGATCTGTCAGTCTCCTATCATGTCTAGGAATTCTACTAAAGTAGCTTTGTTGATATGTATGTATATGTGTGTCTCCAAGTCTGCCTTGACTTCTGGAGATTGTTGAACTAGTCTTTGCAGGTTTTTGTGTGTGTATATGTATATGTATGCAGAGGGAGAGAGAGGGAGGGGGGAGAAATGTTGTTGAGCATTGCAATTACAAATATAAGAATTAATACAAAGTAAAAAAAGAATACAAAGAAAAATAGTGCAGAAAAGAAAAGACTTCCCCCTTCATAACAGGTATAAATAATGTTAGTAACATCACTTTCTCTTAAAAAATGACCTCTTCTTCCCATGTCTCAAATCTATAAGCAAACCTTTAAAGCCTTATTGTTCTCTCCTGGTTGGCAAAAGTCCATTAAGAATTACCAGATATAACAATGGATCAAATAAACCAACTTTATATTTCTTCCTTTTAATTTTAACAATCCTGTTCTTTTTATATTCCTTCTCTCTCATTTTTAACATAAAAATATGTTTGAACCTTAATCCCCTCAAAGTCCTGAAACATGATTTGTTCTCATTTTTTTCTTCATCCCCTCTTACAAAATTTTTCACAACTTTAGCAGATTTTGAAAATCCAGTGTAACAAAGTTATCCCAGTCACTCTTTTGATTTGGTAAAACATCAGCTGGTTTCATTTGCATATCCAGTGTAGCATCTTCTTCTTCCTCCTCCTTCCCCTCATTTTTAGATCTATTTTAATCCCTGCATTTTTCCTGGCAACATTCAGAAGTGGCTCCCAGGACTAAGAAAGGGAGGGTTTGTCCCAAAGTCTCCCAACTGATTTTAACTATTATACCAAACTGGATCTTTGTTAACTTTTATGCCTTACTTAAAATTATGCTTTACTACTCAGCTGAAGTGTAATCACTGTCATTGAGAAGGATATTGTCCTTAATACCAGCAATTACACTCCCAAGCTTGCTGGGCTAAATCTGAGAACAAAAAATTTAGGAAAGTACTGGGTATGTAAGCACAATAAAAAATAACAACAAACAGAAAAGAAAGTGTTTCCAAATTCAAGGGCAACTATAAACTTTAGAACAAAGAGGACCCATTGGCTGAATGACACACTTAACAAGAAAATTCCTTACTTTATATTTGATGTAGATTACAGCTTTCAGGTTAAAGAATTCCCAATGGCAATTGTTTATATTTAGGGCAATTGTTTAAATTTGAAACCTCAGTTAAGAGCTATATAATGAGAGGCATAGAAATAGTGTTCCTGCTTCTTTTTAATTTTGAGTTAAGCCTAATCCCTAATGACTTTGTGGACAACATCACACAATTTTCTTGGCAAATACTACGTAAGGAGTTTGCAATGGCCTTCATCCAGGATGTTTATCCATTTTTTTGGTCAGGTGCTTAGCCCTGATATTTCCTTCCTCCTAAGTACCAACCATATGAACCCTGCTTAGCCTTTTCTAGATTTGCCTAGGTCAGTCAGGTGTTGCCACTTAATAGAGCAGATGGGAAGTTAATGTTTACTACAATAAACAGTATTTACTCCATAGAGTACCTTTGGACTCCATGTATTCCAGAGGCAGTCTTAGAAAATCAAAACAATGCTGGGCTTCATTGTTTCAAAATTTGCCCAACTGTCCAGAAAAGAGACTGCTATGTGAAGAACATCCTGGGATGGCAAAATGGGATGGGGGAAGCTTCTGGAAACTGGGTTTGTTGTGCTTAAGCAGTGAAATGCAGCCACCATTTTGTGAGAGTGCTGTTAACATGTCTTCCAAATTTCATGTATGCCATGGGCTCAAAAAAAAAGTTGGGACCTCTGCAATAATACAGCTATCCCATGGTACAAAGGGATAGAATGAGCAATCCTGTCCTCCATTCCTGACTGAAAAATTGCTCCATATATCTTCAGGCTGCTAAGGCTGAGAAACATCCCACATGGTGTGACATGAACCTGGAGGAAATTTCCTTCTTTCCGCTGACACTTTTGGAACAGTGGAGCATGAAGCCCATTTATGGCTTTTGGGGAATGGGAAATGTCTTTACTATTCTTGGCTGCTTCCAAAATGCCTCAGCAGAGGCCTGTTTTCAAACCAGTGACTTCCCTAAACTCTTCTCCTTTCTGGCGAGAGATTCCCCCCCCCTTCTAAACGCACCATCTCTTCACCCTAGTCCCCAATTTGTCTCTCCCTCTCCTCTTCTTGGCTGCCCATTTATCTCCCTCTGTCACCACCCATGGCAGCTCTAATATAACTGCAAGGCAGGTATTGAGCAGTGAGATGAGCAGGTGTGAGAAAGGACCAGGCACAACTGTCACTAGCTTGGCAGGAGAAGATGGATGGTGAGAAAAGGAGGGCCACGTCCAGGAGCCTGAAGGCTAAACAGGAGGAGGGGAAGGAAGACCAGACAGCTGCCCTTGTATTTAGCCCACTTCTCCTCTTCAGTGGGCTTGATTATTATGAATTCATCCTGATATTATACATGCCTGGGGCTCACCCCAAATCTAACCCAGATTTTGAAGGCGCCTTGGCCAGGATGACCTCAGTGCATGAGCCCCTGTTACTATGGTCCATATTGACCATTCACTTGCCATCTCCCTTGCGATCCAATCCATACCCTTGCCCTTGCCCAGGCACCAATAGGGAGGGAGGAACAAGGTCCCCTGTTGGCAGCTGGATCTGTCAATCATCCTCAGAGTTTGGCTGGTAATTGTTTCTCTCATAATTGCCATTTTGCATCAGGTTAGAGTACTTTTGCATCCTTTTCCAGATGTGGAATATGAAAGCCAAGTACATTTCATAAATCTAAATAAAAATATGTGGAGACTAGGAAAGTCCTACTCCAGGGAACTGAGCTTTGAATTAAAACATGTTTTTGAGGAGATAATGGAGGACAAGAATAAAAAATATTTATGGACCTAGGAAAAGCATGATTCCAGAGAAATGGCAATGTATGCATTATCCTTGAACTATTTAGCATTCTCTTATGAGATATCTGCCAACATCATGGCTGGATTTTAAAACTGTACTAAGCCATGATGTGAATGGGTTTGGCTGTGGTTTACTCATCAAAGTAGGAATGAATAAATCAATTTAACAAAATGTAGAAACTCAATCATTGCAAAGCCAGCATCCTAGGTCAATTGTACATTGAACAATGTAGTCAAAGGCCTTGCCCTAGCCTGTGAACTTGAACCAGAGAGCATTAATAGCAGATATAACATTTGTGTGGCAGTCTTATGCATCTTGCCCTGGCTTATTTCTCTCTCTGATTCTAGTCATCTAAAAATAAAGGATTTAATTGTATAGAGTTGATGATGTTTTCTGATGAAGCTTTGGAGTATTAGGTGCCCACAGTGGTCGGTAAATACCCCAGGCAGCCAAAATTATCATTACTCTGAACTCCCTACTCCACAGATTTTCTAGATAAAACATCCCTGGAAAAAAGAGTGGCCTTAACCACCTGGCAGCTGGGACAATAGGATGCAAAGAAAGTTTGGTTGGGGAGAGGACAGTTCCTAGACCTGTAATAATGTCCTGTGTAGAAAAGAAAATATGCAAAAGTATTCCATCCCATTATTAAACTGCCAGGGGTCAGAAAAAACTGCATTTGCCAAGCCCTCCTCTTTGATACAACATGGAAAGATTCTCAGGAGCTGACCAGGAACTCCCTGCTCACTTGACACTAGCAACAGACTTGGACTCTTCCATCATGGCTTCTGTTTCTCTTTCTATGAGAAATGCTAACAACAATTAGAGCTGTCATGCCCACTGTACCTCGGAGGAAGCTTTTTGCCCTCTGGCTTTAGCAATATTATTTCAGCCCAGGAGGTGGTCCCAGGACTGCTGTCCCTGGTCACCTGCTCATTGGGCTCATTAATCGATGGGTGTTGGCTGCATGGATGTGAGCAGCAGATGATTCCAGCATGTGCTGCTTTCATCCAACCAAGCCTTTATCTGGTTCACTCTCCTCCCTGCCTTGCTGCTCATTGGAGGGAATGGAAACCTCTCTTGATACGCGTCTACCACTAGCCCCCCAGCCCCGTAGGGATGGAAAATAAAATCGCTCACACCATTCTGGAGATTCAGCTCAGAACATTGCAGAGCAGGATATGGCAAGACTGAGAAGGGAATGAACTGAACAAGCCAGAGTCTTCTCACAGCCTTCCAGCTACATACAATGTCAGGTAATTGGATCCCAGCAATGTACTCATCCATGTTTTGGATCTTGGTGGTTTTCTCTTTGAGCATTTTGATTTCTTCCAAGCCAGTAGGTTCCTCTAGTGCTAGGAAAGATAGGGGGACAGTTATTGGACTAATGCTGCTTTCCCAAATTAGTGCTATTGAGAAGTGTTGGATTACAACTCCCATCATCCCAAATCTAAAGGCTGGGAAAGGCTGTCTTAAAGCTTACTCTTACATTCCATTGCTATGTAGAGAAGCAGCATGCTTGACACCTGAGCCGGGCCTTTCTGGTGATTTCCACATGTGCCCATTCAATAAAATCCTTGGATGCTGCAGATAGTGAGGTAGCATTTCTTTTATCTAGGTCAGTTGGGGATCCTAAAGAGTAGCAGCCTGGGTCATCTCAAAGGAAACCTGCTCTAAAACTTCATAGGGAACGTTCTGAGGGTACAAGCATATATGATTAAGTCATAATAATGAATTCATCTAATTACATGCTTGCATGATTTTTAAATACCACCCATGGAATGAAATGTGGCACATGCCTAAGAAGGAAGTAGAGGGGGTTGCTATAACCACTTCAGTTGGAATCCTGAAATAATGGGAATGATTGAGTGGGTGTCCTTAGAGGGGAAGGTAGGTACACATTGGCTTCTAGCCAGCAAGGCAGGTGAGGTAGTTGGGTCTCCCTGCTAGGAAGCTCACAGTGCAGCTTCCAACAGCCATACCTTATTGGCCGTTCTAACCAGTGACTCTTCCTGTGGCAGAACTTGCAGGGCTACAAGGCATTGGGTGTAGCTGCTGGATGGTGCTTGGAGCTATTCCCCCCCCCTAGTTTTTATTATTTACAGCTTAAGAGCAATTCACATGATGGATAGATTCAATTTTAACAGCCATTTTGACTGGAGAGATGCTAAACAAAGTTGATAATTAAACTCCCTATATAATCGAGGAGGTTCCGTCTATTCTGTTTTTTAAAGAAAACCTAATTGTGTTGCAAACCACCCCCACTCCTTGTTTTGTTATTGAATTTTGGCAATGTACTCCCGGAGGTTGCAAAGCTGAGTTGAGGGATCCTACATAGGCAATGAGTTGTGAGTTGATCCTCCTTCTTTTAAAGAAATTTGCTGGCCCTGGATGGCCCTGATGTTCTCAGACAAGGGAAATGAAAAGAGGTTAGACAAGGAAGCCAAGGTGAATAGTAGAAGAATAGCAGATAGGCTTGAGCTTTGATTGGATCCCATAGTCACAGTTTTTCAGGATTTGCACAACTGTGTGAATTGACAGCTGGAAAGATTAAGTGCATCTCTCCAGAAACCTTCGGATGGCTTTGTAGGGTCAACACAACTGAACTCTTTATTATAAGGTTACATTAACAGAATTTTGTGAGTCTGAAAGTACATTTCTCTCCTATTGCCTTTACAACCCAAGAAACCAGGAAAGTTCCCTTTGGAGATATTTACCATCCCCACATTCCTTCTGTGGGCTAAACTGCCTCTTATCCCGCTGTCTCCCCAGCTGTGGCTCTTCTCCCTGCCTTCAAAGGTCACTCCCGCATACCATTACAAAACATTCCTTGCCTTTTTGAGAACCTGCTTTAAAATATGTATAATACACATGTGATTTTTCTGAGGACTCTAGAGAGGGATGAAGAGAACAAGGCAAGGTGTACGAAAAGAACAGAATTTCACAAAAAGAGCAGGACATTAATCTCCTCAGCTTCCAGATGGAGCAGCACCAGGGTCATATTCCATACCCAGAACTGGGGTATTAGCCATATCCCTGTGGGAAACTATACATGGCTGAACATACATTGCTAGTCAAACGTTTCTGAGGTAAAGTCCACCTTGATTCAAGCTTGACTTTGATTTCATTCCAATCCACTCTTCAGCCCTCAAATTTCTTGGTTGTCTCCCATCCAAACAATAAATATGTTTCAACCTTGTTTAGCTTTTCAGGATCAAGCTAAATTGGTTAGGCACTGCCACCTAGAATCTAGATGGCCGTATCAAACAGATTTAGGAAGCGAATGTTTGTTTCTTTATCCCAATGAAACTGCAGTTCTAATTAGATCTGGACAGAAAGCAAACATTTTGAATATTTCATTTGAAGTTAGGAGCCAAAAAGTAGATATTTTTAAGGCATATTAAAGGACAAAATAAATGTTTTAGGGAAAATGTAAAATATTATTACATAAAAAGGACAAAGGAAAATGGGGTAATGAAACCACAAGATGGAGTAGTTACAACATGCAAAGTTTAATTTAAAGTTTCCTAATCTCTACTGGAAAAAGCAAGGTGAAAAGAAGCTGAATTAAGGCATGAATGTAAATAAGGTACAATAACCATTAACTGATTAGAAAAACTAGTGATAATAATTGATTTGTTGTTGGACAGAACAATTTTAACTCTAGTTTCCTTACTGGGATTGTTTGGGGCAACAGTCTTTCATATCAGCCATACGGAGTGTGCTCTGATCGTCCAGATCTGCTCATAGAAAACTCAGTGTCACTAGGGGCTATCAACAATTGGGTGGTTCCTGTCAGCAATACACACCTAAGAAATGATAAAACCATGTTTGGATCTTTTAGGTCCTTTTCTCTGACAGATTTCGCATTGGTCCTGTCAGGCATGCCAGCTTGGAGTTCATAAAGCTAATCGCACTAATATCCTACTTCCAATATAGGAAATACTATATGGGCTTCAGCTAAAACAGTCTATCAGGCTGAAAAGTCCTGCAAAACTGTCCTAGCTCCTGCTCTAACAACTATGAAGCGTCAAGGGTTGGTTTTAAGCAATAGTTTTTCTTGTTTGTTGCTCCTTGGTCCCACTTTATTGCATCTTAACTCAATTCACCTAAGCTTCCTCCAGTTTGGCTAAATAAATACAATTCTAGACTTTCCAGACATTTGGCACAGAGAAAGAGAGAATTTTAATTACCTGGTCCACAGCTGAGATTCAAGCAACACACTTCTGTAGGCTCTAGTGAAAACGTTGAAACTCTAATTGAAAGTCCAAAGTACAGACATCAGGAATGTCCTGGTAGAAAAGTAATCCAAATGCAATTGAAGGGGAAAAAAAATAAAAGTTAAGTCATGTAACCTGAATCTCATCAAGAAGTAAACAAGATTACAATAATCTCTCTCTCATTCTCTTTCTCTCTATAATTCATAACAAGGGGAAAAACTTTCACAACTGGGCAGAAAACTGAATTACTGCCAAATTCTTCATGACCCAAATATCCAACCTCAGAAAGCTAGTTTAGGAAAACAATCAAGAGTAGCCTTAACACAAAAGGGAAGACATTTTCACAGCAGGAAAATCATTCTTGTACAAAGAGAAAGCCTAAAGCAAATTTTCCCTAAGGAATTTTGAAAAAGCAAAACTATTCAGATATTCAAAGTAATAATAAATAAAGGAGAAAAGAAGAGCCCCAGTACAGAGCAGCAATCTCTTTTAATCTTCCGACACTTTAGTTTTTCTTGCTAATGCAACCTTTCATTTCTTCTTCTTTTTCAGTTAAAATTTAGTGTTGATTTGGGTAGATAAATGGATGACTGAAAAGTTCAGGCCAGAAACAAACAAACAAACAAACAAAAATCAGATTTCCCTTGTGAAAGAATGGGATGGGGATAATGTATTCCCATGATCTACTATTAACAGTGTAACAAATTATTAAACTTTTTTCATACTATCGCTGTCATATAATTTGCAAGATGTTTTGCCAGCATTAACTGTTTTTTTCCTGACTCAAGAGGCCTTTTTCCCACTGCTGAGTTAAAGGTCTCTCCGTCCATCCTTGACGCAACAGAAAATTACCAGCATAAATTTTCCTTTTCTCACTGGTAATCTCTCTCCTGCATCTTGTTTTCAAGTCACTACAACCATCTGATTTCCTTACAAGGAAACACAGGATAAAACTGATTTTACACATTGTGAGGATGGCCTTAGGCAATGTCAGGATATGGGGGGGGGGGGAAGCATATTGCAATGAATTAAGCTTCTCTCACTCATGGACTAGAACCCAAATGAAGGCAATGTCATGGAAACACAGCCAAAAAAAAAAAAAAAAAAGTGGCTGGAGCATTTTGGTGCCATAGCAACATACACATAGGGAAAAAACCTCTGAATCCAGGCAAAGAAAAAACATTATCCTCAAAACATCAGGCATGTTTTGAAAATCAGATTTTGCTCCTGTTACATCTTACAGCTCTGTTGCAATCCACCGGTTCCCTTATAAAAGTAACCTGAAACAGAAAAAGCATCATCCACCATCCTCTCCTTTAATGTTAAAGAGGTATGGATAATGAAGAATCGGTTTGGATGGATTATTTATTATCTTTGTTTTTTTGGTTTTACACAATATGCTTTTCTAGTGTGGTTTGGCCTGTTGTAGGAACTCAGCCATTGTCTTAGTTTTTTGCATGAACTAAGCCATCATGTTGATCTGTAATATTGTTTACTTGTTCAGACAGAGTATGTTATATTATCACAAAACAATTGTGTTTTGCTAACTCAGATTTAGTGTTCAGTGTATTGTGTGATTCCTTGGTTAAGTGCTTTTAGCAGTGACAGAGTACATATCTTTACAACTAAATCAGGATCAAATCTGAGCTAGATCTTCAGAAGATGCTGGTACTGTCTTCTCCTGTTTTCCACAGGACATAGCTTCAAACTTATTTTCAAATTCATAAGTTACATCTTAGAACACATACTGATATTTTAAGGAAATTTTATCTCTAAGCAGACATAAGTACTTATAATCAGTGAATAAGCCTCATTTCCAATCATTTGCAATAAGGGGCCAAGACTTCCATTTAGGCAGATATTCATGTCCGCCTTCAGAAATTAACCACAGCATATGAGTTTAGCAACTACCAATTAGAACACGTGATTGTCCTTCTAATCGAGGTGGAATTCAGAAAAAAGCAAATGCCATCTGCAACAAATGCATTTATATTTATTTACACATTTCCTCCCTGTTTATCAATTAAAAAACCCACAGGTGCATTCGAATAGTTTACTTTTATAAGAAAAAGCTCCAAGATTTTTGATGACAAGCATTTTTTCAAAGCACACATTCAGCACTCAAGAGAGTTTGGGGAATGGGAGGAGGTGGCTTATTGTATGTTGAAGGTTGTGTGTCAGCATGGCCCAAGATTGAATGTCACTGAGAGGCAGTTGCAAATCTTCCAAACTCAGAAACCACAGTCTAAGATGAAGTCAAATAGATTACATCCCACCCATGTAATTATTCCTGGTGTAACCACATATATAATATAAAGTTTGGTTGAGTTATTCTTTAACTAAAAAGGTGACCTGATAATGTCCTTTAATTTTCTAATGCATCTTTACAAACATGGGTGCGGGATGAGTTAATACCTTTGGAAAAAATTAATTGTGCACATACAATTGGGGCATAGTATTAGTGAAGTCTATGTTGTCCATAGGGATACATTCTCATACCATCCTTCAAAGTTAATCCACAACTGTAAGGAAGCAGGCTATCCAGGATGCAATTATTCTTTCAATTGTCCCCATTGTCCCTGTAAAAAGCATCAGCAATTCCTAAAGGTGCTTTTTCAAAAGTCAACTGGACTTTTTTTCCTTGAAAACATTTTGCTTCTCATCCAAAAAGCTTCTTCAGTTCTTGGATGAGAAGTAAAACATCTTCAAGGAAAAACAAAGTCCAGTTGCCTTTTGAAAAAAAAAACACGTTTGGGACACCATGACCTGGATGACTGAGAATCTCCATAAACAGCTGGAGTTCTTCCAAAGATGTAGATGTTTCAATGAAAGCCAACATTCAACCAGTGTAGATTAAGAGACAATGTCATGTTCAAAATCTAACATTGATCTTCTCCATGGGCAGGGATTTTTTTTTCCTGAATCTTGGTTCTCCCACTGAGGTTTACGGAAGTCTGGTCTCCATGGCATCTGGAGCTGATACTGTGGTTTTCTTTCACTTCTTTCTCAGCATTCATTGCAGCAAGTTTGAGTGTACTGACCTCTGAGGGCTGCCCCTTCTCTCCTAGCCCAGTGGCTGCATCATGTCTGCTGGGCACAACAGCAGACTTTGAGCAATATGGAACCAATGGAGCAGGGAAGCAAAATGGCAGCTCCCAGTTAGCTAGGAAAAACCAATGTGTGTCTGGTGTCACTGTGCAACTGGAAATGAGGAGTCTTTGGGAGGAGTTCAACAGCCTTGGCACCGAGATGATTGTCACCAAGGCAGGACGGTAAGTGTCATGCACTTGGGATCACAGGTGCAAACACCATCTAGTGCAGCATTTCTCAGTCACTGAATCTTTAATATGAGTAGACGTCAACTCCCCACATACCAGAAGTAGGAAAAGCACACCACTCAGCAAAGTTTCAGGAAGGAGGCTACAAAAATTGCACCTATACTACATTTATAAGAACAAAGTAAAAGACAATTAAGAAATTTAAGATTATACCATGCACCTGAGCTTCCCAAATGGGTGCAGCTGTTTTAATGCTTAAAAAATGTGTGTAAAATATGGTTTGCTGTGTAAGCTAATCCTCTTTCAAATGCTTTTCCAGAGCTTGCTGCCTGCCATGGGAGAAATTGCCCAGTTTGGCAATTTGTGAGAAGCCACTTGATAAGTGTCTTGGGCCTTTAAGGCAAGACTTGTAGTGGGCTTTCCTGATCTTGGGCACATGATATCTGCCCTTCCCTGACCCTGAGTATGCCATTTACTCAGCTCAGGAATATTTTCCCCATATTCTGTAATGGCCTTCAAAACACTGAAGGGGAAAGGAAAGGAAAGGAAAGGAAAGGAAAGGAAAGGAAAGGAAAGGAAAGGAAGAAAGCTCACCTTAGGAAATTTTCCATACTTCCACCCAAAGCTACTGGCTCAGTGCAGCATACTCATTTGTATCAATTATCCACAATAACCCATCTTTTTGTGCCAGCAGACCCTACTCATCTAAGACCCTTAGAATGTAGTTGACTGGCATTTCCAGGCCATGATAAGTCCTTCCCCAAAAACAACAGGGAGGCTAAACAAATGATCTTGCAAAGTCCTTTTTCTCTGTGGCAGGAGGATGTTTCCCACCTTCCAGCTGAAGATATCAGGCATGGACCCATTAGCTGACTATGTGCTTCTAATGGATTTTGTTCCTTTGGATGACAAGAGATACCGGTACGGGACCGTAAGTTTGGACCTACTGATGTCAATAGGAACTTCAATGAATGATTGCAGCCAATGGGGTCTCAGCCAATTCTCTACAGTCAAAGCTTTTCTATCAGCAGAGTTCAGGGGTTCTGGGATTTTTTTTTTTTAAAAAAAATCTGAATCTGAGAAGGTTTGAGACTTTCTATTCTCTTCCATTCCTCCCTCCAAACCCTTTAAATATCAGCCATCTTCTATTAGCACTTCTGTCATCTTCCAGGAAACCATGCCCACCCCGGCTCTGCAAAAGCAAAAACCATCACAATACACAGTGGTGGGATTCAAACATGTGAACAACCGGTTATCTGTGTGGATGCCTCTTCCGGAAGTCCATTCTGGACCTGGGCAACAAAAAGTAGCTACCAGTTCTGCTGAAGTGGTGCGAACCGGCTGAATCCCACCACTGACAATATGTCACGTGATGCAATTGAGTTTGACACCCATCCTATAAAGAATCACTTCCAGGCAGCTAGAGTGTACCTTCTTTTCCAATTTAACATTATTCATGAAGGGAAAAAAAACACATATCCTGTATCAGGTCTCTTCAGAAGAAAAAGGAGTTGCAAGGCATAATAACACCACACTTTTATCTCAAGATAAAAGCCACATAAGTAGTATGCATTTAAGTTGTATTAGGTTTCTATATTAGCATGCAGCAGAGAGTCAGCAGCTACCAGTCCGTGATGCAAATCCTGTGGGGCATCAGTTGCCGATACCAATAAAGAACCAGGAGTCAAAAGTTGGATTCATTATTATTATTTATTTGTCTAGCATGTCTTCAGGGATAAAAAACACATGAGCTTGACTCCCTCTCCTTTTCTTGTCATTCTGGCTTTTGGTCAACAATGGAAATGAATTAGCAATAGTCAGGTCAATATCTGGTTCTTGAATGAAGCTACTCATTAGAGAGGCACAGATTTTTAAGATGGCTGCCATGGTGAGGAAAAACTGTTTACCAAAAGACAATCTAGAACCCTGTCCCTGCTGTCCCTCCTAGTTCCTCAGGATGCTGTTTGTCATCCTAAAGTAGATGGCATATTTCCAAACAAACTCCTTTTTTTGTGCCCATCAGCATGTTATAAGGCAACATGGGATGTCTACATGTGATTAAGGGGCATTCCTATAAATAAAAGTGATGCTAGAGACTGCTATTTTGCTTTGCAGCATCCCAGTAACCATTTATTTTTAGAAAGTATTTAAGCAAAAATAAGATGGGATATAGAACCTGACAGGAACCAAAAGACTTAACTCACCCACATGATCGCTCCTCTCTTGCAATAGCCTTGTTGCTGAGACATATTTCAGTTCAGAATTTCATTTACACTTATAAAAGATCTTGATTTAGATTTTGGATTCTGCATGAATCAATTTATCTTAGTCATTGGTATTGTCTAACATGCCTGAACATCAATACAAATGAGTATGTGGGTTTGTTATGTATTAAACCAGGGGTCTTCAAACTTGGCCCTTTTATGACTTGTGGATGCTTGGCCCTTTTATGACTTGTGAATTCTGGGAGTTGAAGTCCACAAGTCATAAAAGGGCCAAGTTTGAAGACCCCTATATTAAACAATGTATGTAACATCCTTTGGCCTTCTTCCAGGCTGATAGATAGGGCCAGAATTCTCATCTCTGAGATATCCAGTTGTTAGGATGGATAACTTTTTCTGTTCCACATCAGGGCAGCATACTTCCTATAGGTAGTATTTCACTATTCCATAGTTGGAACTGGACTGATCTAGCCTATTTTTTTCCCCTTGGTCTGGAAAGCAAAGGAAAGCTTTTGAGCTGATAAGTAGAAAACAATGGGACTTCCTAGCAAGCCAAACATAATGGATGGATCCAATACAAGCCAGAACTGTAACAACCTGTCCCAGCAGGATACTTCTTTCCTACAGGTATGCATTCCACAGTTCTGCTTGGCTGGTAGCTGGCAAGGCGGATCCTGCTACACCTGGTCGGGTTCACTTCCATCCTGACTCCCCTGCCAAGGGAGGCCAATGGATGAGGCAAATTGTTTCTTTTGACAAGCTCAAGCTCACCAACAACTTGATGGATGACAACGGCCATGTGAGTTGCTCTGGACTGTTGCTGATTAATAACTATTTAGCTTCCTCACCTGGTTGCACTAGACTTAATAGCAACTGCTTAAGGGAATTGTTGCAAGTTTTTCTCCTGTTTTTATTTTTAAAAAGGCAACATTATTCTTTAAATGCAATCATCATAATACTCAGATTTAAAAAACTCTAAGCATATATCTATATCTATTAGCTAAAAACAAAAATACATTTCTCCAAAATTCTTCTCAAACAAGATTTTTCAAAAATAAAGGAGGGTTGTGGTAGTGGAGAAGAAGCCATATATTTCTCTCTCTCTCTCTCTCTCTCACACACACACACACACACACACACACACACACACCAGATACTGAACATTTACTTTTTGTTTTCCTATTCCATATTTTTAAGATTTTACAAAAACCTGTAGATATGAGCATTCTTTGTTCAGTAAAGATGTTGCCCAGTTGCAAAAAGAATTGATTTTGAGCTTCCTCATCAATATATATTATTTAATCTTCCATGACAACTACCTCATTGTGCAATGGGGAAATAAGGGGAGATTAGTCTTTTAAAATGCAGTCATTTTCTATTAGGATTTTTAAAAAAATATCTTCTAGAAATAAGTCTTTTTGCTTCTGTGCAACTCATTTTTCATACTGTTGGAGTAAGGGAAGAAACTTCTTTTCATTTATAACAGTATCTCACAATTGGGCTGGCTCAAGAAATCTGAATAAGCAATTACAGCTAGACTGTAACACGACCCTGACCCAAGACCCAACCTAATAGCTATGACCAATTTTATCCACCTTCTACCCTCCAGATGTGTGATATTCCTGTTTCCACCACTGCCATTTCCACCACCCAGTCACTGGGATAGGACAGCATGTATACTATATTATTCTCCCTCCCTCCCCCCCACCAGCTAATGTATATTGGACAAAACTGAACAGAATTAGGTGTGATAATGAAAGAAGTGCCTCTGCCCTGTATCAGTGGGGATGGAAAGATTCCCCTTGTTGTGATTGTGGTGCTGATATGCAAATTATGAAACTTATTTTGCAAAATTGCCTACAATGTTTGTTCTTTGGTTCCCAAGCAACGCCTATAGTAGCTGAACTGGACATCCAGTTATGAGACTCGGTTTTGTATATAATTATGTGGATGTGTGTATATGTTTACTTCTCTTTTGTCATGTTTTCATCACATATAGCATATTAACTTTTGTAACCTAATACATCTGGCCGTTGCCAGATTGGGAAACTGATGTAGGCTTTTTTCATGGAGACTTTAGTCATGAAAGTGAAGAGAAACTGAGTGAATTACCTTCAGTATAAATAAATAAAAAGCCTCTTTCATGAAATGTAGCCCCTTGGCTGACAGCAAAAAAAAATTCTGGCTAGTGTTTTTCCCCCATCATATTTCAAATTAGAACATGTCTACTGACATCTGGGAAAGTGAAAGAAAGTTGCATGCAGCCATATGCATCATGGGAAAATGTTAAAATGAGTGCCTTCACCTGAATTTAAATTTTGTATCCTCACCTGAAAGCTTTAATTTCTTAATCAAACAGATCATTCTGAACTCCATGCACAGATACCAGCCCCGTTTCCATGTGGTGGTGGTGGATCCACGTCCAGACAGTGAGCGTTATGCCCAGGAGAATTTCAAATCTTTCATCTTTACAGAGACACAATTTATGGCAGTGACCGCCTATCAGAACCACCGGGTAAGAACACAGTATATCATGGTTTCTCCTCCAAGAGAACTGATTTATGGAAGCGGGTTGATGTGGGACCAGAACACCTCTGAATTCTTGCAGATAAATCAGGATGGCCTCCTTGCTGGGTAAATATGCATAACACATACCGGTATCTCATGACCCTAAACTGACAACCTAATTACAAATCTTAAACAGCAATCTAAGAAGGCATCTGAGGGGATACAATCAATATGGATGAAGGGGACTAGCTCCAAGCCCCATTGTTCATTGGATAACTTTAAACTTTTATCTCTCAACCTCTTTTTGCTAGGGTACAATGAGATAGATAACCTTTTATCAATTGGTGTATCAATGAAGCCGCTAGGAGTCAAAGTTAACTTGAAGGAGACTTTGCCTTTTCTAAATGCCACCCTATGGTCCTCAGAAAAAGGGTAGGCAGGATATAAATCAATTAAATGTTTACTGTGTCCCTTGGCCTTCTACTAGACCAGTGTTTCTCAACCTTGACAATTTTAAGGCATGTGGACTTCAACTCCCAGAATTCCACAGCCAGCAATGCTGGCTGTGGAATTCTGGGAGTTGAAGTCCACATGCCTTAAAATTGTCAAGGTTGAGAAACACTGTACTAGACAGTTATGTGAGGCATGTGAAGGGACTTAGATAAGTGTGCTACTTGACTGAAATTCCTTTCTCTGGGACTAGTGAAAGCTACCTGAACAAAGATGAAGCTGGCAGGGAAGGTAATAAATAACTGATAAAGCTATCCCTCTCTTGATAGATCACCCAGCTGAAAATTGCTAGTAACCCCTTTGCTAAAGGTTTCCGGGAGTGTGAGCCAGATGACTGGTAAGTCTCTTCCTAGATTATTCTATTAAGCCAAAGATAGATAACTGAATAAACGGAGCCATCTATTCAATGAATTGAAGACCTTGTTGCAATTGCCACTTATGAGTGGGTTGCCTATAGAGGCAGATTTTGTTTAGGCAGGTATAATGAAATATGGGACTCATTTATACCGAGTACAGGTCAGGGGAGTGGAAGAGAGACGTGGAATTAAGCAGGGAGCCCTGCACAACTCACTGAGAGAGCCCTTTTTTCATTAACTCTATCTAACAAAAATATTTATCTCCAGTGGCTGCTTAAGGACGAGCAGGCAGTGATCACAGTGCAGGTGGCTAGATTCTGCACAGCAGCACTGGGGATTCGCCATAAACATTTTAGATCTTTTTAATAATATTTTACAATCAATTTTATTACATGTTTTTATCCAGCATTAGACTATAGTCAATGTATTTTTATTGTCAGGTCAGTATGATTCAGTTTTTCTGAAGCTAGGTAGTTTTTTTTTTAATATACTTTCTGTAAAACTAGGCAGACCTTGGCCACCCTTTGATTACATCATTAATGATAATATATTGCTATGTCTTCTTGTGTTGGTTCTGTTTAGTTTTGTTTTATTTGAATGTTTAATTTATGTGTTGGCCTTCAGCTGTAATAATAAATTGATTGATTGATTACCTTTGACTTCCACTCATCAGTTGGACTGCCTGTAGATGGTGATTTACTAGTCTTCCAGGTGGCTGTAAGATAGTTTTATGACTTTGCTGTCATTCAGGCTAGAAGAGGAAACTGGCAGAACTCTTTGTCTAATTTCATCCCAGTTGATGTACGCCAAACTGAGAAGTGTTGCAAGGGAATGGCAGTTCTGGCAATAAATGCAGCCAGAGGCACCCAGAGGTATTCCATAGATTCAAAATGATGCCGAAATAGGGAAAATGATATTGTCCCCACTCCCCAAAATAGTCAGGCAGAACCTCTTTTTGACTAAAGGAAAAATTCTGTAATGTTCTAATTTGAGATATCTCTTTTCCAGTTTAAATCAATTTATTTCTTTAATAACCGAGCAAAATGACAATGAAGTAACTGACAGGGAGGAATTATGCCCACAGCATTCTCAACCAGGCAACCTGTCAAATGCTAGCACCTGACAATATCAATACCTTATCAATACCTTTAAAAGAGATCTACAATGCCTAATTCATGGTCTTGGTAATGATAATGTGATCAGGGTCTAGAACAGCTAAGGTCAAATTTAGCCTGCCTCCACAGATGCAAAGGGATCAAAGTCTGAATCATGAAATACATTATCCGAAAAGGGTAGGCAGTGTCCGAGACACGTCATGCTACTTCTGTCACAATTCACTTTACCTCAGAAGGCTTCCCCCCCCCCCCATCTGTAATGTCTAAAACTGCTATAGAACCCATTCCACCAATGTTTGGGGAATGATTTATTGTATCAACTAAATCTGTGTCATTCCCATAACTCAACAAAAAGGAGGAATTAAGACACCAGTGGTAGCTAAGGACATAGCTGGAAATGGATCAAGTTGTTCTCCAAAAAACCTCCTGTAGAGGTTAACTACTTAAGGGAAATTTCACATTTATATACCTTAACTGGTTATGTTGTATGTGCATAGGCCGGGATCCTCAGGGCAACTACTGAGTTGTTTATCACGGAATGGGAATGCCTCCTCCTTAGCCCAACTTCAAGAGATTCCAGAGAAAGGTAAGATGAAAAATTAATTATCAGTTTAGAATGGAGAAATCTACAGGAAAGCATTCTTAAATCCACATGCCTACTAGGAAAACCAACAATCCCATAACACTGAAATTTTATGCTTTACTAATCTCCATTTAGAGGTTTAAGGTAATGAAGCTAGAGGACTTCCTACATAACTGTTTTATAAAGTTTTTGTGAGTTAAGTGCTGTCTTCTTCCATACTGCCTACATTGTAAGCTGAAATTAGCTGTTTTTTTTTTTCATTCCATTAAGCTTGCTTCCAGGTTTGGCTATAATCAAGTTGTATCTAATCCAAATTTTTGCTGAAGCACACTTAATCATTAGGTAAAGAACTCAGAGGAAAACTTGAACTTTGTTCTTTAAAGATCTGTATCATAAAGGTACCAAAAATGTTTAAATGCCTAGGCAATATCTGGAAAGCTACTGAAAGCTGAAGATTATGGCTTCCACAATTAGTAAATAGTTACCTTGGTATCTTCTCATTTAGCAAACAAGAGAAGAATCAACATCAACAACGACTTGCATACATTTTTCTCCGAGGCAGTTTGATTATATTCCTGTGTCTTTAATCTCTGCACCAAACTGGCTCTCCAAGTTTAGTAAGTTGAACTGTTAGCAAGAGAATTGGACCAAACAATGAACCGGTATTTAAATTGCTAGTTTCCAACAACTTAAAAATAGTAAAATGCAAATCACACTATTATCTCCTGAGATCCTAGGTCTTAGCGAAATCATATAGCTACCAGTATTCCCTGGATGTGGTTTCCTCAGTGGAGGTTTTGCCTTCCCCTCTGATCAGCAACAGCAAAGAAGGTATATTTCAAGAGTGTCACACTGTGTAGAAACGGAAGAGGGCTTCCGGTAATAGCTTTTATTTTCTACAGCTCTCTCTCTCTCTCTCTTTCTAGGGTTTTCCAGCAATCACCACCTTCCTCCTGCCATCCTCAGAGAAGCCTCCCAATTCCAGCATCAACCTCTGGTGACATCAGCCAGCCTCCCAGATGTATGCATTGCACGGCGACCCTTGAATGAAGCCCCAGGGGCCCTGCCCTACAAGCATCTTTCCTATCACAGCTTCTACGTGGGAGCTCGAACTGGGACAGCCCCTTATGCCCTACCTAGCAACCGGGCAACCAGCTTCCATACTCTCAATATTTACACAGCTGGTGGTTATGAGCAATGAGACAGCAGGAGCAGCCGTCCCCTGGCCCAGTTCAGATCAAACTTTCCTAAAGAACCCTTTTCATCTCCCAATGATGCTTTTTATGACACTGCCTGCCAGGAGGTTTCGCCCATTATACAACTCCCTCTTCATTGAAGGCATTTTGGGGATCGCATTTTTTATGCCCAACTGATACTTATAGCTTATCCCCTGCCCTAGATTAACAGAGTTGCCCAACATTTCCTCAATTACATATTAAATAATTGTATTATATATAGATACGATGTAGTCCAATACAAAACTAACCTCTTCTCAAAGGTGTAGTGGAACTCAAAACAGGAATGGAAAGTAGATTTCACTGAGATTCTGGCCACTTGCTCATTAACTGCTTCTACTCCTTACCCCTCTGAAACAGCCCACAGCGGTTAAGGAATTCAACCCCACCTCCAAACACAACAACCCTGACTGAAACACACCCGCCCCATGTCCAAATCTGCAAAGCAGAAATCCCAAGTAAATCTTGTGACTACAAAATGCTCTCCAGGCAGAGATAAAAATGCAGCGAGTTTTATTTTTGTTGCTGAGTTAGTGCCACAGGGATAAGGATTAATGTCTTTAGCACAGAATTCTACCTGGCCTATTGAATGCACTGTCCTCTTAAGGGGAGGATGTGACAGAGTGAGACAAGCTTTCAGTGCATTCTTGAGGCCTCCCTGCCTTCAATGTGAAGGAAGCTTGCAGTGCACTTCATGCCAAGAATCCCTCTTTTGCCTTTGGCAAAGTTAAGCTTAGTTGGCCCACCTGGGAGAGGTGCTGTTTCTATTTGCCTCCTCTCTGGTCCACGTTCCATTAATATGCTTTGCTAACAGTCCGTAAGCTGAGCTCAGAAGATAGAAAAAACAGCCAACATCTTAATCCACTTCCCTGTATTAACACCCAACATGTCAACTGTGCTTTAGATCAAGTCTGTCTTGACGGCTTGGATCTGCCTCCACCTCGTATTTTGGTAGATGCAGCATCAACCTGAGTTCTTTGTCACAATAATTTTTTTTCTGAGGCTGACCTGGACACTAACCCCCAATAAAATTCTAGTACAGTTCTGCAGAAAGTAAAAAATCCCTTGGCCAGGTCTCTTGTCAACTAATCTAAGTAAGTAAACCGGTCCCTTTTTACACAGATGAGTGATACAAATGGACAATGTCCTTCTAGTTCCAATAGAACCAAATTTCAGTGTTTCCTATATTCTAATTTTCCTTAAGGTCTTTTACCATTTTTTCCCACCAGAGCTTTCAGGATACAGAAATATACATAAGATGGTTATTGAAACAACAAATCACCTAAATCAAAAGATCTGCAAACAATGTGGCAAGATTCAAAACACAGCTCTGGAAGATTGTTCCTTCAGTTCCAAAATATCAGCCTAAATACTGATATTCGTGTGTGAGTCAGCACAGGATCTCGGTTTAATCGTAACAGGCTGTTAAAAGCTAGTGCATTTTCTGCCCGGATAGAAGTCACAAGCAATAGATGGGGAAGCAAGAGTCAGTTTAAAAAAAAAAAAAAGCAACATAAGCTGATAGCTTTGCCTATTAGTTCAGGATGGCACACTAAATATTCCCTTGTTGGAGAAGCAGTCACTTTTTTTCTTAGATCCAAATGTCGCTGGTGAAGTTGAAGGGGCTGAACTGGTATCCAGTACCTGAATAGAATTTGTTCTGGAATTCCACCCTGAAAAATACAGAACAGGTCAGTCTAGGATTGGCAAGATCAACTCTATCCCCAGTTTTATCTAGTTCCAATAGAGATGCGCTGTGTCATCCCAGATTCAACAACCCATCTAGGATCAAAGACTTGATCTCTTTGGAAATCATTTATCATCTCTACGACTCCTAAATGTTAGCATAGAGGCACTTAGCAATCCAAGCCAAATAAGTCAGACATGTCAAACTCGCGACGTCATGTGACGTTGCGCGACATATCGGAGCTTTTTCCATGGCAATGGGGTGGGCGCGGTTTCGTTGTCATGCGTCCGGCCATGGGCCTGCAGTTTGACACCCCTGGAATAAGTGAACAGCATTTACACAAAATGTTCTTGTGTTTCACAGAACTAATCCCTCTCCCATGCAAGTGTGAGCATATATGTCTCACCAATGAAGACGAAGGGCATGCAGGAAAGCTGAGAGTCCCTCCATCACCAGCAAAATTGCTACAGTCAATACTGCAAACGAAGCAAAGACAGGTACAAGGACAGCCACACCTTCGTAGCCCTTTAGCTGAAAGCCAATCTTCATCACCATACTCCAGAGGACCTCTGAGAGCTCTGTGGACAGGAATAAGTGCAAGCAGTTACCAAAGATTACGAAAGGGCAAATTCTCTCCCTATTGCATGCTAGGAATCTTTGCAGAAAGGGCATGAACCATCTTAATCAGACTTAATTTTGAGGCCAAATCACTGGCTATATATGCACTGTGATATTGTTTATGGCAGGGGTCCTCAACCTTGGCAACTTTAAAACTTGTGAACTTCAACTCCCAGAATTCCTCAAGTCCACAAGTCTTAAAGTTGCCAAGGTTGAGGACCCCTGGTTTACGGCATATCGTGTGTAAATCTGGCCAACCACGTTGACTACTTTGTTGACCATGGTTTAGCAAATAATGGGTTAGCGCAATATGAAAACCCAGTTTCTCACACACAATGATTTTACATGATGCCTAGACCTTCAGTTTGTTTAATCTTGTTTTGCTGAATAAATCATGTTTATCTGGCTTCATGTAACAACCAACGCCATAAGCCATGCTATACAAAACCAAAACCAAACAGCACACGATGATTTGCTGCAATACACCAACCCAACCGCCATCACCTTTCCCAGGAATTTCAGGAAAAACTCTTGCCAACCAAATAATCAGCCTGGCACAGATGTTTGCAGCCAAAACCTCCTCTATTTTCCTCACTTCCCACCCCCAGGAACTCACGTGCGTGGGCCAAACTGAGAGCCCAGAGACGCAGATAAGAGGCCGTGTTCGAGATGCAGCCCAGGCAATACTCAATAGTGTGGATTGTTTGATGCATTATCGCGTCGCTAAAGTCAAACTATCGGAGAGATGGAAAAGAATTGGGTGGCAGTGAGGACTAGCCAGGTGCTCTGAACTATGCTCAACGCCCTCTCCCTGGAGCCTTTTCCAAAATCCAAAGAAAGGAAATGAAAGGAGAGGGAGAGGAAGAGGGGAGGGGGGGGGGGAGGAAGACAGCAAATAGAGACTGATGAACAGAGCCAGTCTCAGATCAGAAGGTAGATTTAAAAAAAAAACCAATAATGTTGGGAGGCAAATGGCACGAGTGTCATGGCATATGTACTTATAAACTTAAGATCTTGGGGCACAGATATGAAGTTGCTTCTTTTACACAATGCCATCACGACAAACATGTTTTCATTCTGTCATAGTTGCAACTTTTATAGACATTGCTGCCTGCATCTCTCTGTTCAAAACGTAAGTACTGATGTATCTCTCTATGCTGGTTGTTTCGGCTATTTCATCAATTTCAGCCTTTCTTTTATTCTCCTACTGTGTCTAAAAAAGTCACTTAAGTGAAAATAAAGTCTTCAGGTTGTGGCAAATCTGTACAAAGTACTAGTCAAATGGCTGGGAGGGAGGACACGGAACAAAATTCTGGCCATCACTACCAAATTAAAGTAAAAGTATTACCTTCTCCCCTTCCTGGTTGGTTTCCATGTGATCCATGTCACCTTCAGCAATGTTCACAGATACTTTTCGTTCCTGTGAGTTCAGCAGTGGTTGCCGCTCTCCTGCTATGGAAGGATTGTGCTGCAAACATCCCAGAACACATCAACCATCAGAGAAGAGGCTTCTCAAATATCCCAGGATATATATAAGCAAAAGATCCCCTCCCCCTGAACCTGCTATCTTCCTCAATAGCATACGCCATCTTGGAGGATGCTTCAGTGTTCATTAAAGGCCTTTCTCGGCTCAGTCCTTGAATTGGTGGGCCCAAGAGAGGAAAGTCTTAGAATCCACATAGCTGGCAACTGAACTAGGGAACCCGGTTTGTACAACAGTCCTAAATGAATCCCAGGGAGTGATTCTTACCCGAGATTGGGGAACCTTCTGGCAATGTTTGTACCAGAGATACAAGGGTGTCCCCAGCAACAGGATGGGCACGGAGATTAGAGCCACCGACATCAACACCTTCTGCACTACTATCTGTAGTGAGCAAGAGGACAATTGTAGTTATTGCAGCCCTATCTCAAAGCATTCAAAATTAAAGTAACTTTACAGGAATGAAAAAAAACACCCTTTTCTGAGTTGCATCTCAAAATTAGAACAAGGCACCAGAGCAAAGACAAGTACAGGCACCCTCTTCTCCCTTTCTCATAGTTTATTTCAATTCTTATCCTATGAAACTTTATTGATGAGGATCTTTTTACACTCTAATCACGTTATTATTATATACTGTCTTATTAACAAAACAAAATAAAATAGGACTCTGAAAATTGTTTTATTAACTGAAAACTAGGAAACCATTCAATGCTTCCCTCAAAGTATTACAGTCCACCTGATTGTGTTAAAAAAAAAAAATGGTTACCAGCACAGTAAGCTTGAAAGTGTACTACCCAGTAAAGGGAATATGTTCCTAATATTAAACAAGGCATTAATAATATTTTGATTACTTAGTTCCATTTTTGAGTATTTTCCTTGACAGATTTAAAATGCAGCAAAAATAAGAAAGCAGCATCTAAAATAGTAAGCAGCATCCTCATATGGCACCTGTGGAAGCCCAAAACTAATTATTAAAAAAATAAAATGGCAGAAATTTCATAATTTCATAATCGCATGAGATTTCAGTGTTCCCAGCTGAAATATCACTAGATTGTATAAGATTTTAGGATGAGAGTATCTTGTGAGATTTGGCAGTTTGGATATGAATATGCATAAGCTTGAGTTTTTTGACAAGTACCAAAGGCATTTTTGGATAACTCTCAATAGCTAGAATTACATTTGTCTTCAGGTTCTCAATCTATAACTATTTCCAAAAATATTTTTCCACAGGTCTTGTGGCTTTGTATCTCTGGTTGACGTGTGCACATCATTGGTCATTACAAAACCAAATGATGAATTGGTTTGTGAAACCACCATCACCATTTAAACAGAAAATTCTCCTCAAATAACATTTCTCAAAAAAGCTGGTCACAAATCCAGCATTAAAAAGAAAATGCAGATGAATAGCAATGATTGAATAGAACAAAGCCATCTTAGTATGTTACAAGGCTAATTTGATTGTGGATGAGGCGGCCAAGTTGCTACGCATAATTATCAGACCTGGGTGGACCCAGAGGGGATTATCTGAAGATAGAGAATTTATGACTAATCCTTTCTCCTATTGTTTTTGCCCCCCTCTGTAAAATCCCATCTGTTAAGCAATGCCACCCATTTGGACCCTGAACACATTTTTTTTCCTGTTGTCAGCCTTGTTCTATCAAATAGTACCCCTCAGAGATTTTCCTAGGCTCTGGATTAGGGTGGGACATAGGCTTCCTATCTGAAGGATCTGAGTAGTTTTTTTACTGGGAAAACCATCTTCTTTTGCTGTTTTTGCTTGTTGTTTTATACTCCCATGTTTAATTTTATTTGCCACCAAAGTCACCGACACGTCTGGCAGCCTTAGGAATGTGAATGATAACCCAATCAAAGAAAAATAAATTTCAAGGGAACATTTTATCCCCAAGCAGCTTCCTCTATTCCTGTATTATCTGACAACGTGCACATCTGGAACAAATAGATGTTATTTGGATATATAATTTTCTGAATTATGTATCTGTCCTATCCCATTCAATTCAACAGATTCTAGAAAGAAGAAAAACAATGGAGAATTAAAGGGAGGAATACTTTTAAAGTAGGGAATCAAAAAAATAGGATATGATGCTAGAAGCAGTTACCTGGTGCTTAAAGAGCGTAGTATTTTCATCACTCTCTGAAAACAGGAACATGTTAATGAAGTGGATGAGAATGCTAGGGGCGAACTTGGAGTTAGAAACATCATACATAAACCATTTGTAAAATATCAGGATTACAAGGTAGCCAAAGAGCAGCAGAAGGAAAGTGATCTCTGGAAGGAAAACCAATAGGATCTTGTATCTTTGCTTGAAGTGGCTGCAAACCAGACAGACGGGAGAAGTCATCAACAAAACCATCAGAGACACATCCAGCCCAATATCACTGATTAGGCAGATGCCTCTTGGGAAGCAGCAGCTCAATCCCCATTATGTTCCTTAGCCTCTAAGGAAAAGAAAGTACCATATAGTACCATTATCTCTAGCTACTAGCAGTTTTACCCTCCATAATTGTATCCAACTCCCTTTTAATACCCACTCTGTTGATTGTAATCAAAGTAGAATTTCCAAGACCCCTTTTGTTGGCCAAGCAGGGGTACATCAACTGGATACTCACATGTGGTTGAAGATGCCAAGAAACACTCCAAAGGTCATGTGAAAAATGCCCAAGATCACAGACATCTTCATTTTGAAGGAGTTTAGAAAGGTGAG